GCCTTTAAGCAGAGCGTATACACTCCATAATGTTCCTTTGTGTTGCATCGCAACCGTGGCTGACCAGTTCTAGTAAATGTGCTTTGTTCCCATTAACCTACGACGCCTTTGCTGACCATGTTTGACAACGCAGAACAGTTTGCGTTTGGGACCGCGTGATCCGTTGGTCCAATGTTGACAACATGCAGCTCCAGAAACGTCGTCGGTCGTTCACTCGTTCGGTGGAGTCAGAAAGACCCACAAAACTAAAACCGCTACTACGCAGCTGCACGCACGGCGGTCTTCAACGCCTTCAGCTCATACCACCCGTCGCATAAGTGTACACAAAGGTTCACCTAACTAAAGTGGAAGAGGACTTCTCTTTTGTGGTCAAGTGACATCACGTTCTGAGCCAGTGAGATAGAAAGGATTTCATATGATCCCACCTTGACACGAAGGTCCTGGCCTGCAAAGGGCGTGGGACTGGTATCTTCTCCCCGAACACTACTTAGAGAGTCATTTAATAATTCAAGTTTGCTGGAAGCTTCCTCCAGTCCCAATGAAGTCTTGATCGTCAATAATAGAGAAGGCGACATAGCGTCAACAATCAGTCTAGTAAACATAAAGACAAAAAAGGAACAGAAAGAAACAATCGAACCCAATCAAAAAGGTGAGACAGTCAACGAAAAATATGATGTTGTATCTAATGGCCGGGAGGCGGGCTGAGTACGGTAATTGCACTTTGAAGCCGCGAGATAAATAAAAAAGATTCGCCACGGGAGGCGGTCGTTTGACGCGACGGGGGGGGGGGGGGTCGCGCCGCCCATTTGAGGCGGTTCGCGGGGTGAACAACTCGTTCAGTTCGAGCAACCCTCTGCCTGTCCTCTCCAGCTGATAGAAGCGCGATTAGCTACTATTGGACGCCGAATTGCGGACTTGCTTGTATTCTGCCTACATGCATCATCCATTTGGCGCTTTTGTAGGACTTTTATTGCTTCTTGTGCTTTATCTTCAAATACTAATATCCTTCACAAAAGATCCATTGAGAAAGCGGATTGTGAAAGCACAAGAAGCAATAGAAAATCACACAAGAGCGCCAAATGGGTTCTGTATGTAGGCAGAATACAAGCAGGTCTGCAATTTAGCGTCTAATAGTAGCGGCGTCATTGATCGCGCTTCTGTCAGCTGAGAGGGCAGGCAGAGGGTTGCGCGATCTGAACGAGTTGTTCACCCCGCGAACCGCCTCAAATGGGTGGCGCAACCCCGTCTATCGCGCCAAACGACATACACCCAAAACATCGCTGAATACGAACCGTAATTTTCACCGGACATATGTCACCATCCGCGCTTTTCCTCGAGGTCTAATTTAAGTGCAATCAAAAGCATACGTCGAGTCATCGTTGAAGGTTCAGTTCAAGGCAGAAAAAGAAAAATCACTGTTTTCTAGGGAATGATTGATGAAAAGACCCATATCTGCTGTGCTGAGCCCTGTAAGTGGCGTGGAATCCAAATTTTTCTGACTTGAATCGTCGTTACCTTCAATTAGGGCTTTCACATGTAAATGTCATTAAATGTGAAAGTCCTAATGTCTCTCTCCCGACCTTTTTTGGAGTGCTAGTTTGAACGAACTCGCGAGTGTTTCCCAGATACCTCCCTTCCGTAGAGCTTGTGAGGGTTTGAACAACTACGTGATTTGCTAAAGGAGCGGACATGAGGCAGAGATAGACGAGTGGTTAGAAGTGTAGGCTTATGTCTGCACCCGGAAAGATGAGGGGCTCAATTCCTGTTAAGGGAAACCAGGTCTTGCAGGAATAGCAGGGGAGGTGTTGGTCCCAGCTTCAGGCCCGTGTTGACAGAGCGGCTGGTGAAGAAACCCTGCCTCAACAACAAGACATAACTAAAGACATAACTGAAAGCTAAAACGTCACCCGGAAGTAGTGCACAGTACCACATCGACTTCTGTTGGCAGTATGCGGATGCTACGGGGGGCGAACGATGCCTACGTAAAAAGTAAGTTCGATTTGGGGCTGTAAATGTTGGAACACGCTGGAGAGCAAAAATTAGAAAAATTGGAGAGCCCTCGCAAAGACTGGGCGTGCTTATCAGTTCACTGGTGAAAAATAGAGGTGGAAGAGGGTTGTCATCGAATCTGTAGGAGATCGTAGAAGGGAAAAAATCAGGTGTTTGCAGTGGGAGGCTGCAAACTGCCGCAGAGCTTCCTGCTAGCCCTGATCTCGAGTTGGAGACCTGAGCCAAGATGACAAAAGGCAAAGCCTATAAGTGCCTGTGAAGAATCCAAGGATATTTGAAGCAGTTTACTACAAAGAGGTATCATTGGGCGACGAACATCATTTTATGAGTCACTGGTAGTCTTATAACGGAAAGGAGGTGGTACAACCTGTTCATTTACAGACTCGACAGCTAAAATATCGAAGCATGGCGCTTATCCACTGCAAGGAATTGATAGTCGCCCGACGACAACTTCGAGTGCCTACTGTAAATGATGCTTCTAGCAGGGACGTCTTCCTTGTAAATTTCCTTCATACGTCTATCGATTGCCTCGAGTTCTTGGCTAGATAAAAAAAGAAATAGGATGGTGTTGCGGAGGTGGAGTTGCGACGGCTTGAAATCATGGGGCATGGTTGCAAGAAAGGAAATAGTTAGGTGTGTTTAATAGCACTTAATTGGAAGAGCTCTAACGATGCCTCGAGCGTCCATTTTCGTTACCTGTTTGTTGAAGGTATCAATTTTCCACTACGTGTGTTTCAAAAGTATGTGCACACCCAACATTTTGTTTTTTTGGGAATACAATTGCTTTCTGTAACCTGTGACCTTCACCATTCAGTTCCTTGTGTGCGATAACCTACGAACACTTTCTCTGAGAAAACATCGTAGCTGCTAACACAATTTTTTATTAAAGAAAAAATTTTCTTTGTTTCAAAAGTATGTGCACACTTGGCAAAAAACAAAAATATAACCGAGATCAGAAATCAATA